GGGGGGGTGCAGATCCAGGTTCTAAAAGCCTTCTCTAGGAGTAGGGGCTGCGAAACAGGCCTAGGTCTTACAGATCGTCAAGTGAGCACTTCGGCACTGTCTCCTGACACAAGTTATCTCTGGTCTTTACAGATGCTAAATATCTCATTTCTCTCAGGGGAGTAGGGTCCTGGTCAGGGAGAGCAGGGATTTCCTGTTCCAGTGGAGACTAATTTTGCGATCCAAACTGAGCCAAAGGCCATATTCTGGGCTAAAAATTCCCAATAGGTTGGTGGTCACAGCTCTTAAGTACGGGGAGCTCTAAACCCTGGCCAGCCCAGCCCCTTCTACCCACTTCTGCAGCCAGCCCTAACAACTGCACACAGCCAAAAATAGGCACTGACAGTGGGAAGAGGCGGAATTCTGAAGCTACAGGCCTCCAAGCTGTCAGGAGACACTGCCCTTCCCCAGCAGTTGTCAGCCTGGGATGTACAAACTGGTGGTTTGAAGCCACCTCCCTTCAAGATACCCAGTGTACAATTTAAATTGCTGTCTTATGGAAAGATATCTCTTCCCCTTTCCAATGCTGCGGTCCCTAAGCCCCACCTCTAAGCTCAGAGAAATTCTAGAGCCTGCAACAATTTTGCAACCCAGCTCAGAGCCGGGTTTCTCAACCTGTAGAGGCCGCACCCGAGACTCCCAGGCTGTCAATACCCGGAATCTAGCAAGCCCCAGCCTGTTCGTAATTAACGGGACTGCCCGTGCCACTGGGGAGCATCCCTGTCTCCGCGGCCTTTGCCACACAGGCCCCTGCCCTCCAAAACAGCGCGAACCACCTCCAGTCCCTGGCACTGGAATCCAGCCAAACCGCCGTGTTCTGGGAACCGTGGGGCTCCTCCCTCCCGGAACTCCAAAGCTTCTGTTCGGGACCCCCAAGGCCACAAAGTGGAGAGGCACTTTGTATATGTCTGTGGGGGCCCCTGCCTCGGGTGGAGGCGGATAAAAGAGGGAACAAACACGAGAAAACACGTAGTGGCAGCAGAAGCCCTTGCTTCCGCTGCGCGAAGGCGCGCGGTACTGGAGGTGTGTATGGAGGGTCCCTCTTGGAAATGGGGTGCAGGTGCGGCCGCGAGCCAGGCCCGGCACCTCGGTACCCATTGCCCTTACCTGTTTGTTTTCCAGCCCAGCACCCACCGAGTGCCCTCCTCCCCCAGCTTTCCGGGCACTACCCCCGTCCCCAAAATGCCGTCTGGGAACTAGGAGCCCCAGGCCCCCATGCTTCGCTGCCCCCTCACCTGAAACCACCAGCGCCTCGTTGGGCCCCACGGTGTGGCAGTTGCCCATGGCGTCGGCGGGACGGAGGGCCCTCGGGGACCGCAGAGACCCGGACCGCAGCAGCCTGCCCGCACCCTACACGCCAGCCGCGCCCAGCCTATCCCGCCACCCACAGCGGCCGCCCGCCCGCGCCCCTCCGCGCCCGCAGCCCCGCCGGAAGTGTGGCGGCGGAGGGCGGGGCCCGCTCCAAAGCTGCAGGAACGAGCGCGAGCCGTGGCTGTCCGCACGCTTTATTGCACTGAGGTCCGGATGGCCGGGCTCAGCCCTGTAACACCCCGGAAGGCGCACCCTGTTCCCACGGGGCGCCCCAATGACAGCCGCTCTGCCCCACCTCACCGCCCAGCATCCACTGTTACAGTAGTGGGCCCTGGAACACCCTGCTACTTACTAGCGGTGAGACCCTGAGAGTCTCTTAGCTCTGCAAAACGGGGGTAATTTACCTACGTAGCTACCGGGTTGCTAAGGCCCCAGTTCAGTGTTGGCAGTGCATTCAGTCGCAAATTCCCAGGCTCTTCTCCAGAACTGATCGGCATCACCAAGTGGGGCCTGGGAATAGGATGTTAGCATTCCTGATAAGCAGAGTCTGGCACGTGACTTCCTACCTCTCAATCTGGGGTTATTGTCACCCTGACCAAGAAATGATCGACGTTGTTCTTTCTACCAGGTAAAGAGCTGTTCAGGACACATCTTGAAGCCCCAGAAAGTTATCATGGAGGTAAAAACTGCAAACCCCTCAGTGCTAAGGGACTGGCCTGGCATGCAGCTATGATTTTCCTGGGCCTTCCAGTACCACAGGAAGCATCCCAGTCAGGGGGTTAGGAGGCTTGGGACTCAGTTTCAGCTTTAACCAGAATTCACTGTGTGCGCTTTGACAAGTCTGGTGAGCTCTGGGCGCGGAAGTGGGGTTCAGAAACTGTGGGATCTGCAAGATGGGGGCTGCTCAGAGAAGATGAGGTGCCTGGGTCCTCAGACTGGATGCCTTCATCAGGTTCAGCATCCTCCCCAGTCTCAAGCCCTGCCAGCCTTTTGCTGGCCTCCCAGAGCCAGTGAGCTGCCCGGTCATCTCTGGCAGCTGGGGGCACCTCTTCCACACGGCAGTTGGCAAAATATCTCCCACTGAGGGGCTCGATGCCCTCCTGTAGAGCGCAGTACAGTGGTGTCTGGGCACCTCCTCGTGGTGCCCGCAGCACCAGCCAAGCCAGTGGGCACAATAGTGGGCGCAGCCATCCTGGAACGTGACGTAGGAACAGCTCTGAATTCACAGGCCCTGCGGAGGGGAAGAAAGGAGGGAGTTGGGAGGATCATAGGCAAGGGTCAGGGTAAGAGCAACAAGCAGGGCTAGATGGGAGTGGGGACAGAGCCCAGTTCTAGGGAAGCCAGGGCATTCAGGGCTCACTCATTTCCAACAGCCAGCTGCCTCTTTATCCAAACTGCTGGTAAACCCCCTTCACCCACAGTGTCCCAGGCCAGAAACAATTCTCCATCTTTTTTTTTTTTCTAGCTCAATTCACCTTCCTTTGCTTAACTAGCAAGCATCTCAATAACACCTATGTTAGGCCATTCACTGTTTTGGGTGTTAGTGATGTGGGGAATAATAAAGTCTCATAAAAGTTATGCTCATTATTATTGCAGCTATTATAATTACTAGTGGGCCTCAGGCAATAACGATCTAAAGTGCTCACGTATGGTAAGATGTGTAGGGAAGATTTCCTTATTCTGTAACCTGTTCCCTAAAGGCAGGGATGGGTCTTATGCACCATTTATTTCACTCAGACTAAAAGCCAAAATGTCTAGACTATATCTCCTACAACTCTCCCCTCTCTGTTCCAGACTCCGTTTTGTCTTTTATTTTTTTTAAAAAAGATTTATTTATTGGGTCCTCCCTGGTGGTGCAACAGGTTAAAAGTACTGCATTATGGGGCTCTTCCTGGTGGCACATCAGGTTAAAGCACAGCACTAAGAAGCTAAAGCCACTTCTGCATGAGTTTGATCCCCGCCCCAGAGGTGACCCACGTGTCACGGCAGACCTCTCATGACCTGCCCGCTGCTCTCCTCAGCAGTATACTTCATCAGTTGGCCTGTTCTGCTCCCCTCTCTGTCTCTGGTGAATCCTCTTACCACCCCTGCACCTCTGGCCTGTACCCCAGGTCTGTATGCATAAATAAATAAATCTTAAAAAAAAAAAAAAAAGCACTGCATAATGAAGCTACCTGAAGCCACTACAGCACGAGTTCCATCCCTGGCCAGGCACAGCAGATGTCTCCTGGCTGTTCTCATTAGTGTATATTTCAGAGAATCCACCTGTTCTGCTCCCCACTCTGTCTTTGGTGAATCCACTCACCTCCTGCACCTCTGGTCTATACCCCAGTTCTTGTATGCATAAATAAATCTTTTACAAGAACTGGAGTACAGGCTAGAGGTGTGGGGGTGGTGAGAGGATTCACCAGAGACAGAGTGGGAGCAGAACAGGCAGATCTACTCAAACACACTGCTGAGGGGGACAGCAGGCAAGACAGGAGAGGTCTGCTGGGCCATGTGGGTCAGCTCCCTGGCTGGGGATGGAACTCATACTGCAGGGGCTGCAGAGAGCTTCACAGTGCTGTGCTTTAACCCCTTGCACCACCGAGGAGGCCCCTCTGTTCTTTCTCAGGCACACTGAACACATCTGCCTCTGCATCTTTACACTTGCTGTTTGCTGTTCTTTTTTTTTTTTTTTAAAGATTTATTTGAGTGCCTCATAGTGCTGAGACTTAACCCCTTGGGCCCCCAGGGAGGCCCTGCTGTTCTTTTTTTTTTTTTTTTAAGATTTATTTACTTTTGCATGGAAGAGCTGGAGTATAGGTAAGAGGTGTGGGGGGTGAGAGGATTCACTAGAGACAGAGTGGGGAGCAGAACAGGTGGATTCACTGAAACATATGCTAAGGGGAGAAGTGGGTGAGACAGGAGAGGTCTGCTGCCCCACATGTGGGTCAGCTCTCTGGCTGGGGGTGGAACTCAGGCCTTAGTGATGACAGTGCTGAGACCTAACGCCTAGGCCACCAGGAACACCCTGTTTGCTCTGTTCCTTACACTCTTCTCCCCAGAAAGCCTCATGGCCCAGTCTCATTTCCTCCCGGTCCCTGCATAAATGTCATCTTTTCAAATATGTCTTCTTTTAAGTGCCAAAGATAAAACACCACCCATGTCATTTCATATTTTCCTTATTTTGTCTTATCTTTCTTCATTGCACTTGTTCACCATCTGGCATATGTATTTCTTTATTAGCTGTTTCCTTTCCCTTAAATTTGAATGTAAATGCTACATGGATACAGTCTTTGTTTTGTTCACTGTTATATCTCCATCATCAAGATTAATGCCTAGTACACAGTAGGTACTGAGTAAATGCTTCTTAAATGAGTAATTATTAGCTCTCGTCAACAGTATCATGTCATAGCCAATTCACATGGATGGCTTGTGGGGTAAGAATCTGGGCATTATCGATTGCCATATCCTGCCCAGGAGTCAGCATCCAAGCTGGCAGTGTAAGAAGAAGAACCCAGACAGGGAGAGCCTGGTTTTAGCAGCAGCAAGGAATAGTTGTCTTCTAGATCATGTTTCCTTCTTGCTCTGAGATTCTGTAGCTCACTGAGAGACTGGGGGAGACAGGTTGGGCAAAGAATGGGAGGAGGAGTCATAGACTTACCTGGGTGGGCTGCGTAGCAGGTAATGCCAGTGCCTTCGAGCTGGGTGGAAAGCTCCCGGGCAAACAGTACATTCGCCAGCTTACTGTCAGCATATGCCCGTAGCTCCTGCCGCCAGCCCACCACTGGACGGTCCAGGCGAGTGAAGTCGAGGCGCCCTCGGCGGTGGGCAGCTGAAGATACCACCACCACGCGGCTAGGGGCGCAGGTCTTCAGCCGGGGTAGTAACAAATGTGTCAGTAGGAAGGGGCCGATGTGGTTCACTCGCAGCAGCAGGTTAAAGGGCTCTCGGGTCTGGCCACAGGAACTGATCCCTGGGGCAGGGGCTGGGTGTGAGCAACTACTCCTGGAGGGGTTCCCGCAGGCCTGGCGTCCCGTCTGTGAGACGGTGGCGGGGGGCATCATCCCCACATGTCCACTGCCCACCCCCCTCCAAAGCCTGACTGGAGGGGACAGCTGGCCCTGGCCACCCGCCAACCCCCTGCAGGGCCTGGTGCCCCTCACCGGCATTGTGGATGAGGATGTCCAGCCGAGGCTCAGAGCTCAGGAAGGCAGTGGCAAAGGCCCGCACTGAGGCCAGACTGGCCAAGTCCAAGGCCATGAAGATGACCTCATTGTTCCCACTCTCCTGTGGAGCGGCAAGGGCTGGGCTTGTCACTGGATACCTCTTCCGTCTCCCCAGGCACCAAATTCTGAGTTTACCTCTACTCTCACTAAGACCTGTCCTTATGCATTAGAATGTAGTGGGGTAAGTGTGTGGATTCCGGATGCAAATCTTGACTTTGCCTTTCACTAGTGTGAACTTGAGCAAGATATTTAATCTCTCTGGACCTCAGTTCTCTCACTGAAACGGGCATCAGTATATTACCTCGCTGGTAAAGCTGCTGTGAAGACTGAACGACTATATAATCTAGAATACTAAAACAGTGCGTGGCACATAGCACTGTGTAGGTACTTGCTATTATTACTGTTATTATTTTTCCTCTGCCCATTAATACTAGCTCTAAAATTAAAACCTACAACAGATTCCTCTTCAGTCTCCTCTTACCCACTCCTGCCCCTTTTCAGTCCAGGCACCTCACAATCGCCGAGTGATTCTTCCAGAGAAGCTATTCTGGTAGTCCAGGTGCTGCTGCGGACCATTCACTGGGATTCCACTACCCAGCTACAGAATTCGAGCTCCGTAACAGTGTCTAGTAGGTCTCCAGAGCCTGACCCTGCCTCGGAACCGCCAACCCTTTCATTTGCCTCTTTCGCCCATACTCTTGTGCTCCTGTCTCATGAAATCTTTTTTCCCTCCCCAGTTCCTTAAATCCACACCCGCTTTCTCACCTCCACTCTGCACATGCCGTTGCCTCGCCTACTTTCGTTAACAGCACAGCTACCCTTAGAACCGCAATTACTTAAGAAGCCCACTCCTCAGTTTGGGTCTGCGCGCCCCTCTTCTGCACTCAATGGGCAGAAGCCCTCCCTCCTTTCGGGGCCCAATCCCCCAGAGTCTTTGTGCTCGCCCCTTTTTGTGCCGGTTCGCTAGTCCTCTGCTCACCGTCCCCTTCACTCCCGCCCTCCCTCACCTGGCGAAGATCGAAGGCGGCCGCTTCCCCGCGCTCGCGGCTGCGGCAGGCCAGCACCACGCGCGCCCCGCGGCGCGCCAGCTCCAGAGCCGTCATCTTGCCGATGCCGCTGTTGGCGCCTGTGGGCGGCAGGCGGGAGCCGAGCTGAGCAGGGCGGGCCTCCAACCCCGCCGCCCCGGCACCCGCCCACTCGCCCGCCAGCACTCACCCGTGACCACGGCGGTGCGGCCCCGCAGGCTGGCGATGCCGCCGCACGGCGGGGCCTTCACCAGGTTGTAGTAGACGAGCACGTAGGCGCCCAGCAGCAACCCCGCGCCCAGTAGCAGCGCCTCCATGCCGGCTGCGCTTCCGGGCTCCCGCCCAGGCTCTGCACCGCCCTGGATCGCTGCCCGGCGGCTGCCTTTGCACTCCGCGCGGGCCCGGAAGGGCGCCGCGCGCGCCTCGGCCTCCCGGAGGCGGAGGCGGAGGCGGAGGCGGAGGCGGGCGCGAGGCAGGGCAAGGGTGTGTGTGCGTGCGTGTGCGCGTGGGCCCGGCGAGCGCCCGCCAGGCGCGCGTCCATGTCCTCTGGGTGTGTGCTCCGGCGAACACCTAAGTGCGTCTTTTTTTTTTTTTGTGCCCTGGGAGCGCCCTCTAGGATTGTTTGCGTGAACTCCTAAATGCAAGGGCACCCCGGAGTAACCTCTAAGTAGGTGCACGCGCCCACATACTGTGTGAAGGACCTTGGTGTGTCATGTGCGCAGGGGCCCTCGGATCGCCCTTGTGTGTGTTCCTCTGAATCCTGCGATGTAGTTGCGGGTTTGCAAGGTGTGTGTGGGACAACCCTTGCCTTCGGGAGATGAATGTGTAGGAGTTTTCTTACCCAGCCTTGCCCTCCATAAGTAAGTCCTTTAATTCCCTATCCTTACATCTACTTAGCTTCTAGGAATCTTCCTTGTTCTTCCATATTGGCCTGAGCGATCAGCATGGCACCATCAATTAAGGGAAGTCAGGATTCATTTATGTATTAGCTGTCTATATTTCTCCGCCTTTCCCCCCCCCCCCCATTTTTCAAAAGATGCATTAAGGGAGTAAAGTGGGGCCCTCCCTGACAGCACAATGTTAAAGCGCAGCACTGCGAAGCTGGTCACCGGCGATTCCATGGAGTTGATTGGAGGTGATCCATATGGTGCAGCAGACCTCTCCTATCTAGCACCCACCACTGTCCCCCCTCAGCAGTGTACTTTCTCCATCTGCCTGTTCTGCTCCCCACTCTTGACTCTGGTGAACCCTCTCACCACCCCTGCACCTCTGGCCTGTACTCCAGTTCTGTATAAATAAATAAATCTAAAAAAAAAAAAAGAGTAGTCTAATTTGACCTTTAGATTGGAGTGATTTGTCTGGAGTGATTCTCACAGGTGGTAGAAAAAAAGGTAAAGCAGCTCCATCACTCAATAGAAGGTGATGCTGATGGTAGGGATAGCTAGGAAGGCATGTGTAAAGGCATTCTTGATCAGGTACCTTGCCAGAAGGGCCTTACCTAAGGAAACCATTTAGCACTCCACCCCTCACCCCAATTTATGGTGTAATTAGCAGTGTAGCTAGCCTGGCTCATTAGGGTAGAGTGCAAGGTAGAGATGAAACCACAGATAGACCCCTGGATTTTGGGGAACTTCCTAATGAGCTGTACTGCAGATTTAGGGTTCAGTCATACATGTTGTATGTACTGGATTAAGTATTATTAAACAATAGATGCATTCTTCACCCACAAGGCAAAATTCTGATACTTAACAGGTGCCACCTACTTGAACAGTGCCGGGCTTGACAGAAGTTCCTTTTAGGAAGACCATCTTCAGGAAAACTTTCCAGAGAAAGGTCCTCCCATCCTTGAAGAATAGTTTGACTTAATAAGGTTTAACAGGACCTCAGAATTAAGGTAATACAGTAGACATCTTTTGTTAAGGAACTTAAGTGATTTACAACTGATGTAAAGAAGTGATTTCAAATCACGTAACTTTATGGCACAATTGGGTCTAGAGATTATATTTCTCCTTTTCTTCACTTTACTCTGGAAATATCTGAATCAACAAATTGTCCTACACTACATTCTAAGCTCCAAGAAGCAGGGCCATCTCGGCTCCATACCTAATTAAATACTGATAAGGAAGGCCAGGTCTTATGAATCCTTCCAGGATGGATGAATAAAAATTTATAGCAAACAGGGCCCTCCCAGGTGGCCATCACAGGTTAAAGCCTAGCACTATGAAGCTAGCTGCAGCTGCCTCAGCACAACTGCAATACCCAGCCAGGGAGCTGACCTCTCCTGACCTGCCTGCTCCTCCCCTCAGCAGTGTACCTCAATCTGCCTGTTTTGCTCCCCACTCTGTCTCTGTTGAATCCTCACCGCCCCAGCACCTCTGGCCTGTACCCCAGTTCTGTATGCATTTAATACATACATCTGAAAGAAAAAAAAAAAATTACAGCAAACAACTGGAACCAAAGGTGCTCAGCTACTTACTTAGGGTTAAAGTGTTTAGGCCAGAATACAGAGGCCTCATGCCACCTCCTACTAATGTCTTAGTTTTGGGGACAGAAAGCAGGGATTTGAACTCTCAAATTCTTCGCAGACTGGTCATGTCAAATGATCAAGCTCACTCGCCTACAAAGCCACACAATAGCCCTCCTTAGCAGACGTAACCTTCTCTTTTTTTCTCCACCTAAGGCTCACTTCCTCTGACACCTCTTATGTGCTGACTCCCACTGGGACTGAGTACCTGGGAGTGAGACCTACTCAGAGACTGTGGGACCAGGATCTCAGGAGGGCCCCTTCTAAGGGTGATGACAGGGAGGACAGACAGGCAGAAAACATAATTTGAAGTATTTTTTGTTTTTTATATACAGAATACAGGAAAGTTTCTGTAAAGTCTAAAACATTACAATTACTATGTACATTGGTACTAGTTGTGGGGTGGAAGGACGACGGAGCAGGGGCTGGGAGAAAGAGGAAAGAAGTGGCAAGAGAACAAAAAAAGGAGACAAAACAGGTTTACGACAAAAACATTTTTGCTACAATAGACAATTTGAAGAAAACGTTCTACCACATGTAGTACTGTACACAGTTTTTAAAAACATTGAAAAAATGTCATCACTAGATGTATTTACACAAAATCCAAATACACTTTTCCTTATTTGAAATAAAATAAGATGGACAGCCAGAAAAGAATTCATTTCCCATTTGTCCATAATACACAGTAGCTACCTGTAGTGCAACCGCTGCAGAAGGGGAAAATAACTCGGAGGGTGGGAACCATGGAAGGAGGGTGGGTAGCGATCTTTATATTAAATAAAACAATGATATTGTATAGATTTTGCTGTATGAAAACTGTATTTTTTTCTTTTAATATAAAACTATTGTCACTGCCACAAAATAGAACAAGTTTCTGATTATTTTACAACGGCGGGCGAAGGGGGGGAAGCAGGAGGTGGGTGGGGAACGGTTTTGTGTCGGAGGAAGTGTCCAGACCAAGGGTCTTTTCCTCCTGGCCCACGCTGTTCCTCAGCTCGGGTCTGCCGCTTTCCCATGAAATGTTGAGTACAAATATATGTGCAAATGCCCCCTAGAACTTGAGAAAAGAAAAAGGATTTTTAAAAAACAGTCAAAAGATTTTCTTCATTTCATGCAAAGATTGTAGTTGAAGGGTTTCTGGCGGAGTATAGAAAAAACCCGGGCTTGGTTTGTGTACATTTTTGCATTGCAGGAGTCTTGGGTCGGGTGGACAGGCGGGTAGTGGGGTAGCCGCCGGTCCTAGGGAACGGAGTTGGAGCGCAGCACTGGGCCCTGGTGGGGCTTGAGAGAGAGCTTTTCGGCCAAGACCCCATCCTGAATTGGGCTGGCATCGCCTTTGGGCTGTTTGGTCGCAAACTCAGTGATGCTGAAGACAAACTGCAGGCACCCCAGCTTGATGTAGCTGCCGTGGTGCAGTAAGGCCGTGCCTTCCCAGCCGGCCCCACTGCCCCCAATCAAGCTTGAGCTGCTGGCTTTGCAGTTGCAGGGTCTCCGCTGCGGCCCTTGGGCCTGTGAGCTCATCATGGCTGCCTCCTCACTTGGCTCTTCATCTTGTTTCTGGTGCCTGCGGCGCCCTAGAAAAAGAGGGGGGATGGTCACAGTGAACAGTAAACTCCTCTGGGCCGTATGGCAGGGTTGGGCCATGGCACTGCCCCATTCTAATTGCTGCGCCACTAGGGATGAGGGACACTCAGAAAGGACTGACGAAGTCTCAAGTCCCCAAGCAGATGTGTATACAGGCGGGTGCATAGCACTTGCTTCTCCGGGGCCTGCCCTGGACCCACGAGCAAGGAGAGCCTGGCCAACAGGACTGGGGAGGCAAGAGATGGCAGGTCAATGGCAACAAGCCAGGGCTACCCTGATTGGGGCCTTAAGAGAATGTGTCCAAAAATGGCAGCCTTTGTGGCCATAGGCCTCTGCTCCAACTTACTGATGACACTCTGCACTTTGGCAACAATACTGCTTGGGGGGGTTGGCGGGGTCTTCTCAGAGAAGTCACATGAATACAGCACATTGTCCACCGTTGTCCCGTGCTCACTGTAGTTTAACAGCTCATAATGTTTGGTATTCTGAGGAGGAGGAGGGAAGATAAGATGTGTGGTCTGCTGCGTGGGGCCTGGACTAAGGGGAGAGAGGACATTTGCAACAGGCTCTGCTGCTCTACCTGGGGAGCTCTTTCTCCCCTAATTGTGCCCCTCCTTCCCCATCCCTTGAGAATGGGGTCTGAGAGTCACCTCCTCTGGGGAAGCCTTCCTTCCTAGTCCTCCCTCCCCTTCCCACTTTTCTCTGCCTCCTCAGCACTGTTTCCTGTTGAAATCATATTCACTGGCACATGATGATGATAAGACTCCTGGGGACACTCCCAGAAGGCTTGGTTTCTCCTCTATGTTGGTCCCCCCTCCTCCATGCCATGGGCTCCTCTTGCTGTGCCTGTGACCAGCAGGAGAAATGGTAGCCCTGCTCCTCAGGAGCAAGTGGCTATGGTAGGATGCAGTTTCACACCACTACTCTTTTCCTCCAGGAATGACAAGGAGGGAGAAATGGAGAGGACCCCTAATCCCCTTCCCCTCACTCTAGGGCACTGAACAAAAAACCAGTGCCTAAAGCTGGGAGCGCGCCCTCCCACCCCTTCCCCACCCCTCACCTCATCGTAGAATATGCAGGCGTGTTTCCCGGACACGTAGTTACAGTGACCATAGTTTGTAAGGCACACGTCCATGTCAGCTCCTGCAAGGCGGCAGGAGTAGAGAAAGAGGAAGACAGAGAACAGATTGTAAGGTGTATGTTTGGGGGAGGCGAGGGGGTGGGAATTAGCTTCAGATGTACTAGCAGAAACCTCAAGGAATAGGTGGCTCAGGACTCTCTTCTTGTGTTTTTGAACAAAATCAGATGTCTTTTTCAATCCCCTGCTAAGGA